GGGACATGGGGGTGAGCACAAAAATCCACTTGCTCACCACTATGCACATAAATAACAAATATAATAAGACATGTATTGTCGCAACATGAAAATGAATCAATCGTTTATCCCATTTCCTATCCAAAGTCCAGCCTCATGTGCACACCTAATCATAGATTATTGTTGGTCCACATATCAAATGTCTTCGATCAGGCCTTATAACGATGCCCAATCAGTAGAAGTATCCCCTGAGGGCCAAGGTCCTGCCTTGGGCTTACAACGAGGTACTTATCGCCGGTCGAGCACTGCTCTGTCTTACATGCAATGCATCCTTCACTCAGGATGAAAAAAGGAGATTACCCCAATTGGGTCTGTTCTATAGCTATGAGGATAACCGTTCGACGGCCGGTACATGTACTCACCCCACTTTGATAAAACGAAAATTCATGGCTTTTCAGAAAAATCAATTTAATTTTCAAAACTCATTTCAAACATTTGTGACGTTACTCATTTATTCCAAAGTCAATATTATATAATATAGTCATAACAATGACAACAAAACATAAATCAACACCCCAACAAGGATTTCATCCAAAGTCAATCAAACACCCAAACCGAGTTCCCATTAAGAGAAAAACCATTATCTTTTATGTTTGTCGAGTAATAATTATATTTTTATTGATCATATAATATTTTATATTGAATCATATATAACAGTTAATATTAAAAATAGTAATTATATCTTACACTAATGATATATGAATGTTACATAAAATTATATTTTACACTAAAATCAATATTATTTTTTATATGATTAAGCGATTGTATTTTAAATAAAAAAAATTTGTGTCATGGTAAAATTTCTTAAAATCGCATATGTAATTGTTATAATAAATTTAATATTTTTCAGCCAATTTATTGGTCATGATGATTCAAAATTATTAGAAAATAAGTTTTTTGCTATCAATATAGTGATTCGTATGTACTATTTATTTTAACCAGTGATCAAATTTTTAAATATAATATTATTCTGTAATTTATAATTTTAATATTATATGCATAAATATAACTTATAATATCATATGTTTGAAATATAATACTATTATTTAACTTATAATTTTAATATTATATGCATATAAATAATTTATAATATTTTATTTTATTTACATATGTACAAATGCACACAGTCGAATACTAATAATTATAACACCGCTAGAAAGTAAAAAAATACAACCAACCAATCAAAACCAAATATATGGAGTAAGGAACTCCGACTCCCATTGCGAAAACCCTCCCCCAATAAACTCTCTGCGAAACCGTCCCCAAAATCCGATCTCTTCCGCCTTCCTCTGCGATGGCTTAGCTCGGCCAGGGGTCGTCTTAAGCCGCCTGGCCCACTCCCGGTGTATCGCGCTCTTGATGGTGCCGTTGTTTGTTTGGATTACAATGGTCCGGTCCTTTGGTTGATGATGGGGTGTCGGTGGGAGGCGACGACTCGCCCAGCTGGGGTTCGACCGACGATTGGTGGAGCTTTCGTCAATTGGCGGCGGCGCCCTAGTTCATGGTGGTCTGCTCCTTTTTGGGTCCGGTTATTGGGGCTGATGGTTTGGATTCTCCGATGGGGGTTTCTCTTTTTCGGGGCCGTTGGTCTTTGGCAAATGGTGGTTGTGTTGGAGGTTGTGGGAGTCGTGGGGTGGGGTGGGGTCCCGGTTGCTGTGCTGATCTGGTGCGGTTATTGGGGTTGAGGGCCTTGGCCACCCGCGCTTCTCCTTGGTCGGCTAGTGGTGTTAGGCGGCGGGGGGTTGGGTCCTTTCGAGCTTGGCTAGTGGTGTTAGATAAGTTCGTTGGGGCTGGCGTGGGGTCCGGTTGGGACTCTCTCCGTTAGAGATGGGTCGATGCAGGACTGACTCGGGGGTTGAGGGCACCTGCTGTATAGGCGTTCGTGCAGTTTCGGTAGCGGTTCTTGGGCTCGAGGCATTCTTTATGTCGGTCGTTCACTGATGTTTTAGCTTAGTTTCGGTTCGTAGGGTAAGGGCTCCGTGTTAGCTTATTGTTGTTTTGTTGCGTGTTCGTAGTGTTTATGTTGGTTTGGTCTTTGTGTTTTTGAGCCGTTGGCCCCTGTGTGGCCCGAGTGTAGCCTTTATTCTCATTTTGAGAGTTTGCACTTGAGTATTACCCTGTTGGGGTCTTTTTATTTTTGTATGTTTTGGTATTACCCTGTTGGGGTATATTTATTTTTGTGTGTTTTGGTATTACCATGTTGGGGTCTTTTTATTTTTGTGTTGGTAGTGTGCTGGTATTCTGTCTAGGTTGCATTGATTGTGTGTGTAACCTTCTCATTTCCCTGGCTTCTGGGCTCGTCTGTGTTCATTTAATTTTTTGACATTTTTATAAGTATATTTATGCGGTTGAAAAAAAAAAAAAAAACAATCAAGACCGGATGAGTCGGATGACTCGACCGTTGAGTCCCACGGTACTTTCCCTACAATTCATCCAATGAACATTTCTATAATGAAGATGACATGAAAAGGAAATCCTGTCGCTACCCTCAACTTGTCCTACTCTTACAACTCTCTGCAGCGTACTGTAGGAAGAGAATTGTATTATGATCTTGGTATATGCTACCAGAATCTTCTTCTTATCCTTTGCGCCATTCCCAACTACAGGAACAAGGCACAAGCTAAACGCCACCCACTATTGCCCACTTTCTCTCTCAACCTCACTGTAATGGCGCCACATAGTAGTTCGCCGCTGTATCACAACAACCTCTTTACCGTGAATTCGAAACGCGCCAATTCGATGTTCCTCCTCCGGAACTCCTTTTCTCACTCTAATTCTCCCAACTCTCGATCCCTTTTCTCTGTTGTACCCTCTATCAATCAGCTGCCGTTAGTCTCAAGAACGACGGTTCCATGTGCCCCCAACACGAAAGTTTCTACAGCGCTGGTGGAGTACGCGCCGCCGGCGCCGGAATCCGGTTTTTTTAAGCAGGAAATTTCTCGGCTGAGAAGGCTGAGAGAAGCTCTACCTTGCTGCCAGACATTGGCGGAGAAGTCGAGGGCCATTGACTCTGATTCTCGAGTTGAGTCGTTTGTGAGGTTGCGTGGTAATGATTTTGTTGGGGAAAGTCTGAGTGAGCACGACATGTATTTGTTGAAATGCGTGGTGGCAGCTGGCCAGGAGCATGTGCTGGGTGAGTTTGGGATAGGTTTGGACGGTGTGGAGCGTGAGGTGGGGAGGGGTTCTATCAAGAGCACCCTTTACGCGTTAGCTGAAATGATCGATAATTGGGATGGCCATGGTGGTGGTAGGAGAAAAGGTCTGAAAGACGAAGACAGAAAAGCATTGAGGTCGCTGCTGAAGATGCTTGGAGATGTTGAGGAGTTCTATGACTGCATTGGTGGAATAATTGGGTTTGTATTGATGATTATTTGCGTTACTTGTTTTGCAAAAGACATAATTTTTTTGTTTTGATATTTTTTTATATCTGTTTGCACTAACAATTCGAATGTTACCATTTGCCTGGTCGAATGCTGAATAGTGAAAAGCCCTTATACTTGTGGCTAGCTTGAAAAAGGATAAATATATTTGATATTGATTTGTTTTTTTATTCTCATAAAGAAGCTATCTGTTTCATTTGTATGGTTATTAGGAAGAGACAATAAAGCTAGATTGGCATTTGCTAATCTCAGTAATTGCTTAAACAGCAGGTATAGTTCAGACAATCTATATAGGTAATATGCAAAAGGCTGCCAATGTGTGTGTGTGTGTGTTTTTTTTTTTTTTGTTTTTTGTTTTTTGTTTTTTGTTTTTTGTTTTTAAGATCTGTTGAATGCTTTAATTTCAGTGATGGACATCGGTGTAGTTTATGTCTCAGTGGAATCTTACCCTTTCTCTTGATTATGCTTTTATCACTTAAATTTCATATGGTTGTTTGAAACTCGTGGTGGTTCTACAATTCAGACTTTTGTTGTACCTCGATATTGGTACTGCATTAAATATTGTAACTTAGTGTAGCTTAATGCTATTGTGACATAGAGGTGCCATCTTCTATATTTTTGTTCATCTATAGCTCGCACTCATCTTAAGGATGAAAACAGACTCTTCCTCGATATTTTACTAAGCAACGACAACTATGACTCCGTAATACTCAAGCCAACAGAAGCAGGAAATTTAACATAGCTGTGGATTTTAGCGTTCACATTGAGCTCTTTTTGTGTTCAGCTTCTATAATGCAAGCATATGAAATCAATTTAGCAGATGATTATGCTAAATGTGTTCTTATTGCAGATATCAGATGAAAGTTTTCGAGCTACTTGCTCAATCAACTGACGCAAGGGAAACTGTTAATTGGTCCCAGCAAACAAATAAATTATTAAAATGTCCATTTGTGGAAATTCATCCTCCCTCTGTTATTGATCTTTCTAAAGATACTGAATATGCATCTCAGGCTGCTCTTTTGGGAATTGAGGTCAGTAAACAATTTCTTTTTCCGGAGGTTAGAATTGTAGATTTGATTTTCATTTGTTATAAATTAACCCATTTTCAGGGTTTGCCTGAATTAGGAGAAATTTATCCGCTCGGAGGGTCAGCAGACAGGCTTGGTCTGGTGGATCCTGCGACAGGAGAATGTCTTCCTGCTGCAATGCTTCCTTACTGTGGACGAACTTTGTTGGAAGGTCTTATTAGAGATCTTCAGGTGAGTTCTTGAAAACAAAAGGAAAAGAAAAATAGAAAATGGGTTGTTTGGGTTTATATGGTTGAAGCTAAATGATCCATTCTTTCAAATAGTAAATCCTTATACTCCGACAGGCTAGAGAGTTCTTGTACTTCAAGTTGTATGGGAAACAGTGCATCACTCCTATTGCAATTATGACTAGTTCTGCGAAGAACAACCATGACCATATTACTTCTCTTTGTGAAAGGCTCAGATGGTTTGGGAGAGGATCGTCGAGCTTTCAAATTTTCGAGCAGGTGTTAGTTTTATAATATTCAAGGGATTCTTTATTTATTTTTATTATTTATATTTTCCGCCGACCAAAATATTCTATCTTGTCGCTTGGCCATATGAACTTTCAAAGTCGACTCGCGGTCTCCTATATGTATGCAAATTAAATAATTTGCCTTTTAAGTTTGTGTTAAACAACCTTAAAATGAAATGAAAATTCGTTGTTCAATTAGCAATGGAATGTGAATCAAACTGTAAAATTGACTGCGGGCTTTTGGATCTTATGACAAGGTGAGTAAAGTAAGAAATGATCTGTTGATTTCGAATGAGTGGCCTACTACTTGTAACTGTGCCACGGAGAAGGTCGGCTTCCTGTGTCCACGACAAAATCTTCGGCCATGTTTTTCCGATGATTTCGTACATTAATTGTCAGATCTCAGGAGATGAAATTTGGGAAGCTTGTAAGACAGGTTTTTCCAACAAGGTAAGGACTTATGGAAAATTGTTAGAAAAACATGTCTTACAAGCTTCCCAATGAAATCGTTCAATTGGAAATCGGTGTTACATCTTTGGAAAACAACTGATGAAGTTTTTATTGTGCACACACGCACCAACCTTTTTCATCGGCCAAACATTGGATCACCACTCATACATCAACTAATTAACCCCCACTTATCATAGACTTCAAAAGCCCACTATTCAATTCACCATTTATTGTTTAATGAGTTAGTAATGTTGTGTCTTTTTAGGTTTTCTCGGTGGCCAGAAAACTAAGGGGAGCGAAATTGTCAATTTTGCTTACATCATGAGTCAACTTTCAGAAGTTTACATGACAAAAATGAAAATTTTTGGGACACAAAATATGTTTTCCCCATTTTCGATGTTAAGTCCTGTGAAGTTGATTTTTCAACGGTTACATCATTTTGTAATTTTTTTGTCAATTGCTAGCCTCTTGTTCCAGCCGTTACAGCAGAAGAAGGAAATTGGATTTTGGCCAAGCCTTTTCAACCTGTGTGCAAGCCTGGGGGTCATGGTGTGATATGGAAATTGGCCCACAACAGAGGAGTTTTCAATTGGTTTCAGAGTAATGCAAGAAAAGGAGCAACTGTCCGACAAATCAGGTAAATTTCATACTTATGCATATTGTTTTTCTGAAGCGCCTAATGAAGCTGGACAATGTATTGACTCTAGACTTTATAGTAATGTTGTAGCTGCCACTGATTTAACTCTGCTAGCTTTGGCTGGAATTGGTCTGCGCCATGGAAAGGCAAGTACTTAATACATTCGTTTTGTTAACTGTCATAAGTGGCAAAATCGAACTTTGTAAGGATTTGTCAGAAGACTCACTTCTGCAATGGAATTTCTCCAATTATATATTATTGACTCCTTTATCTATATTATTTTTAGGGCTAGTTGAAGTAATTAACTCGTTCCTAACTGTATGACAAGTTACTTTGTAATGATGAAATGGTTAATTTATGGTATGCTGTCCAATAATTAATTATATCATGCTATTAATCTGCATTGTTCTTAATTACTACTGTTATCTTGTCTTTATTAATCAATAATTGTATGTTGTATTGTCAAAGGCTGCATTACCATGTGATGGAAAAGATGGAAAGTATTTTATTCTGGTTAACACTCATCATGTGTTACATAAACCTTCTAACAGTTTTTGCGAAGTTACATATGTTACGAACCTTTATGCTTACATACTGCTGAAAGATGCTCAATCACTATATTTCAGTCCTTTTTTTTTTTTATTTTTCTTTTCCTCTTGAAATAGATTATATTTCAACTTTAGAATGGTGTGGTTCTATCGTGTCAGAAACTGGGATTTGCCTCCTGTGAAAGAAATGCTGGGGCAACAGAAGGCATCAATGTTCTTCTTGAGAAGAAAATTGTAGATGGAAAGTGGGCATATGGTTTTTCATGTATAGAATACACTGAGTTTGACAAGTTTGGGGTCACTCTTGGGCCCCTTGCTCCCAGCAGGTATTTCTCTCTTGTATATTTTTTACGGTGATATTCTTTTTGTACATTTGTTTATCACAGAATGATGTATACAAAGTATGAAGTGATTATGATTTATGTATGTGTTGCAAGTACCTAGGATTCCCATATTTATGGTGGGATTAACGACTAGGCTACAGCTTCTGCCAAACAGAAAAATCTCCCTACCATAAGAAGAAGATTCTAATATACCTAATCAGAAGAAAGATACATACGCGGAATTTTTACAATTAATTCTTAAACTTTTTTTATCATATTAAACTACCAATAAATATGTTTCTCCTCATAAAGGTTCATATTCGTTCATGTGAAGTGTTGTTTTCCTAGCACTGAAGTAAGTGATACTGACACATTGACATAGAAAGAAAGACGTTATCCAATTTGTGGTTCTGAGTTCATGAAACTCTGTTGGTAATTTCTGCGAGCTTCTTTTGCTATGTAAAATATAGTAAAATGTTAACTGAAAAGAGGAAGTAAAAAAGATTAGAAAACCCTTATTAATTGGTCACTTTCAATTGCTTATGACAAGACATATCACAAACTTGTCTGTCATCTATGCTATTTGAGGTATTAAGTTTAGCAGAGTTGTTTAGATGTTACCATTTAAAATACGTACTTCAATATGGGATATATATAGAATAAGCCTTCTTCGCTAATGTATACCTGGCCACTTATCTATTGTGTCGATATTTTCTATGTCATGCTAATTCTTTAATTCCTTGGTATATGTTTTACTTTCTGCATTTGATGAAAATATGAAGTAATTTGATTCATTGGTCATGGCATCTGTTACATGTTTACTTATTTTAAATGATCATGTCGACAGAATGTCTGATCTACTGGTACCTTTAATTGAGTTATTTCTCTTCAGGTTTCCTGCCAATACAAATATTCTTTACGTGGATTTACCTTCTGCTGAGGTTGTTGGATCAAGTAAAAAAGAAAGCAGTTTGCCAGGATTGGTTCTTAATGCTAAAAAGCCAATTACATATGTGGATCAGTTTGGAATGAAACACTGGTAATTTTTTTTCATTCAGTTTACTTATATTTTTCAGTTTGATATTGTTGCAACAACATTGGCCTTTGTAATCTTACGTTCCCACATTTTTTATTGCCTACGTGACACCCGTACTGAAAGGCCTCTGAGCTTATGGACAAAAATTGTCTTATGAAATTGTTTTGTGCCAAAGCAGCCAGCAATTTGTCTTGTGGCCATCTAAATTTATTAATGTAGTCTCTTATCTAGGAACTTTCAGTGGAGTATCCAGTAGAACTTACTTTTTTTCCACAATAAAGCATATGTGGGTTCCTTGTCAAAAGGAATATTAAATCAGCATCAAGTGAATGCGCCACGATTTTCTTTCTTATTTTATAATTACCATTTTGTCATTTTCGTGATGACTATTTATTTGGAAGTAGAGCCAGAAATGATCATAATTTGGCATTTATATTGAAAATGTTGTAGGTCTGGAGAAAAATTAAAACGACTCCATATTAAGTAAATATGATATTACAGTTGAATAATGGGGTTAGAATACTTTCTATGTAATTGGTGATTACATAGATTACTGTATTGAGTTAGAAGCTGTTGAGAGATTTTATTTTTCTTTTTAAAAAAATAAAAAATTGCAGGGTTATAAGAACTTAGACTCTGGAAGTTCACTTGTTAATCGATCAAATTCTTCGTTTTAATTGTTATCAATGCTCCAATAAGTAAAGGATGGCTAATTGATGTAGGGAAAGCGTACGAATGGGAAGGATAAAACGAGTAAACGAGATACTCTCTCGTAAAACACGTAAAACGAGATACTCTCTCGATAAAACTCACAATCAATTCATATTTTTATTCAAAATCAACTGACTAAAACAATATATGATGAGCCCTTTAAATAAGACTCCAAAACCCTATTCCTAACTTGTCCAACAAGACAAGATCTCTAATAATACTAACTTGTCTAACAAGACAAAAATCCTAACAAAGTGATAAATAATAAGTTTCCTAACAAATCTATAATACCACTAATAATAATAATAATAATAATAATAATAATAATAATTAAAGATTCTAAACATCCTTATCTCCATCATTCTCCCCCTGTCGAAAAGGATTCGCCCTCGAATCTGAAGTAATCTCGTCTTCAACTGCTCCACAATCCCAATCGGGCCAATTTGACGGGCCATGAACTTGGTATACTCACAAGCAGAAAATCTATGCTAGCAACTCTCCACTTTGTCCTTCTTGGGCACACTATGCGAGTTATCAAACACATATGCTTGTTGAATAAAAGACCATGAAAATCCATCTTCCAATTCACTAAAAACACCCATTCCAGGCACAACCTCTGGCCTCATAGATGATTCTACAACCACATGGTACTCGTCCTCCATCGACACCACAAGTGGCTCCTCATCAAAAATAGGCGGACCGTCATACAATAGTCCGTCATTCTCCTCAAAAACCACACCTTGTTGGCCGTTGTGTACAACAACGAGCTTAGTCTCGACAGGCGGAGGCGGCCACTCTCCGAAGGGATCCACCTCCAAGATGGTCTCCTCGCCGTCTGCATCGCCGGACGGTGGTTGTGGAGATCGTCGACGGGGCGCCCCGCCTGGACCACGACCTCCACTTCCTCCGTGAACTCCCCCGCGCACACCCCGGTCGCCGGCGGCACGGTTCATCTGCAAATCCGCAACAATCACGTTGTTCGGCGTCAAACACACATCCTCGATCCCCGTCGAAAGATCTGCAAACCAATCCGTGAAACGCACATCCACCTCTTCAAATCGATAGTCAGTTTGTTGAAAACGATCGTTGAAGGTTGCATCACGTTGTTTGTTTGCGGCATCTTCTCGTCCCGGCGACATCGCGATCGTACTGACTGCTGATACCAACTGATGTAGGGAAAGCGTACGAATGGGAAGGATAAAACGAGTAAACGAGATACTCTCTCGTAAAACACGTAAAACGAGATACTCTCTCGATAAAACTTACGAGTGGGAAAAGATACAAGGATACAAGGAGATACTCTCTCCAAAACACGGGATACTCTCCCAAAAGAAAACACGATATCTTATTTCATTCAATCTTCAACTCCCGTACATTCTGGCCAGACTGCTAATAAATAGAGTTCAATATCTAGGAGTCCCTAACTTGTCAAACAAGTAAATAAAATATCTTCATAACCAACTAATCAAGATAATTAAGGAATAATAATAATAATAATAATAATAATAATAATAATAATAATAATAATAAACATATATATATTCTTCATCATTCTCCCCCGGTTGAGCAGGATTCGGCCTCGAATCCGACTCGTTCATGTTGGAGTCGTCCCCAAGAATACCACCGACATTTCCCTCGATCGAACACGAATGTTGAACGTCTTCCAACAACCACGAACGTAAGCATAAACTCGGTCAAGGACGTAACTGACACGAAGGCACATGTACACGTCACATGTCGCAAAGCCGAATTAACACAAAATATACCACATCGATTTTTGCGCTTAAGTCCAAAACAAGGGCCAAGCATCCCGTTGTTGGGAGATTTCGCGATAGACAATCGAAAAATGGTCCACCAGTCATTGAGTATCGGCGTCGACCCCAAAAATCCATCTTTGGCTAAGATGTTCCGAAAATTGGGTCCAAACGACGGTTGTTGGGTAGAGATGTCAACCGTGGCGATGTCCCACGTGGAGCTCAAAGTGTTGACCTTATGTATCTCCGGCACCGGAGGCTCTTCATCAAAAACGGGCGGACCATCGTAAATTGGTTCATCAACGTGATCCTCGTCGTAGTAAAAAACGTCAGCGCGAAACGGGCCGACCCCTTGACCAAATTCGCTGCCATAATCCCTCTGCACAAGCCCAATATCCGCAGCTACTGAAGAAGCCCAAAAATCGCGAGTGGGTTGCACCTGTTGAGGCCCAAAATATGGATCAAAGAAATCCTTCCCCTTGTCCCAATTAAAGAAATTGGGCCATCCCTGCGCAGGCCCAAAATACTGAAGAAAACTCTCAAACTCTCGTCTGCGTCTCTGCCCATCAACTCGTCTCTGCTCATCGCCAAGATCGCGAAACCCTCCAGCTCGCCAATCTCGTCGCTGGACCCCCGCTAATCCGGCGCGGTTCGCTCGCCGGTCGTGCCCTGTACCATCGAAAACCACCGTTGTCCAGGGCTGGATCCGTCGAGCTTCGCGGCCCCCGCCGTCGCCAAATCCAGTCGCCTTCCGCCTCCGATTGCGCTCTCCGGCTGTGGCAAACCCTTCATTGGCCCAGCGCGGGTCGCGGGCAAGAAAATCGCCGCCGTCGACGGCGGCGCAAAGCCCCTCCCGCGGCCACCGTCGCGCGCTGTGCCCCTCATTAGAAGCCCGACGGAAATCACCGTCAAGAGCTCTGCTCGTCCCCGCTCCCGCAGCAGGTCCCCGGAAGCAGTTGTCGAAGGGTGAGCGATTGGGTGAAAATTGGTAAGAAAAACACTTCTCAGACCCTTTTTTTGATGCGAAAACAAGCCTCGCCCGTGCGCTTGCCGCCATCGGCCCTGCGTGGAGGTTTGTCGAAAACAGCACTCCACTGTAAGTCGTGGTCCCCTGATATTTCGTAGGAAACATCACCGGTCAACGGTGGCGGTGGTGATCGTTGGCGGGGCGCCCCGCAATAACCTCGAACCCCACGACCTCCGCGTATCCCTCCGCGATGGCCCCGGTCAGCCCCTTCGCGGTTCGTACGTACCTCGTTCATCATGGTATTCATTGTCTGGCGTAATTCGTCGATCCCGGTAGAGAAATCCGTGCATTGTTCATCCAGCCGTTGAAGTCGATCATCCATCCTCTGGAATCGATCTGCAACGGTGGTCACAATGTGTCTTCTCATCGGCGGTATCGTCCGATCGTGGCTGACGTCTGATACCAACTGATGTAGGGAAAAACTTACGAGTGGGAAAAGATACAAGGATACAAGGAGATACTCTCTCCAAAACACGGGATACTCTCCCAAAAGAAAACACGATATCTTATTTCATTCAATCTTCAACTCCCGTACATTCTGGCCAGACTGCTAATAAATAGAGTTCAATATCTAGGAGTCCCTAACTTGTCAAACAAGTAAATAAAATATCTTCATAACCAACTAATCAAGATAATAATAATAATAATAATAATAATAATAATAATAATAATTATAATAATAATAATAATAATAAACATATATATATTCTTCATCACTAATACAGCATGTAGTATGCAAAATATGTTTCTGCTGTACAGTTAATCTGCATATAGAGAAGTATTATAACTTCACTTAATTCAAGCATACATTTTACCTAATCTATTGATGTTTAATATTAATTGTCCTTTTTTGACTTTGTAATAGTGTTTCGGGTGGCCGTCTGGAGTGTACAATGCAAAATATTGCTGATAGTTTTACCAACACCTATTCTTCTCGGTGTTATAAAGATGTAAAAGGTTTAGGTATTGGTCCTCCACTTTTTTTAAATTCATCTAGGTGTTTTTGTATGAATTTTCCTTACTAACGTGGGACATATTCTGGTCAAAATTTTGCAGATAGGTTAGATACCTTTATTGTGTATAATAAAAGAAGAAAGGTTACTTCTTCTGCTAAGAAGAGAAGGAAGCAGTCTGATAAGTCTCTGCAACAGGTCTTAATTGATACACAGTTCAATTTTGTGCTTTTAGCATCATGAGATTGACCATGGTTTTCAACTGCAAGAGTTATTTTATTCTTGAACAGATATGCTTCCTTATGTCAATACGGATGATTTTCTGGCACCAAAGAACAGTTATTCTTGAAAGTATTCCACATTATTGTCTTACCAATGTTATATTTTCATTGAACACAAGTACATGTTCCATTACACATACATGTGTGTTTTTGTATTGCTTCACTTCCCCACGTTTTACAAAGTATAGCTTTACCAGGTGCTTTATTCGCGGTTTAGCGTAACTCCTTTGATATTCTAAACCATATTTAACTTCTCATTGCAGACTCCAGATGGATCTCTGCTGGACATAATGCGTAATGCTTACGATTTACTTTCTCCATGTGGGATGGTTCTTCCCGAGGTGGATAATAGAACCGTTTGACATTATTTCTTGATTATTTGCTAGATTGTTTCACAATATTGTTTATTTCAGTGATAGTATTTTAATGGCTGAAAATTACAAGGGATTTTTTTTCTTCGTGAAATTGCTTATATAGCAGATTCTCTTCACTGTTTGCAGGTTGAGGGTAATGAAGAATATACTAATTCTGGGCCTCCCTATATCATACTCCTCCATCCTGCTCTTGGTCCACTTTGGGAGGTCACCAGACAAAAGGTTATTCAGATTTCATTTTATTCGTGATGCCAGACGTATTAGAACTTTCAACTTTTTGCAAGGCCTCCGGAATTCTAGCTTAGTGGTAGAGACTCTTCAAGGAAGAAGACATTAAAAGAGAAAGACTCTCAGCAAATACCTTCTATAGACAAAGTTATACAGGCAATTATCCCATAATTATAGTGTTTGAATGAACAACTTACAGTAATTAGTATCCTAATTATAAGTTACTAAATATAAGAATGAAAGTTTAACAGCAGTAGCTAATATATCTCCACAGAGACCAAATTTTGTTCTTTAGTTGTCCTTTAATTAGATAATTCTTATGCGCATATAAAAAAATTGCTTTTTTTAATTTCCTTTTTTTTTAAAAAAAAAAACAAGTATCATTGAGTTTTGTTTGGAACAACTTTTATCACGATGCTGTCTCAAATTTGAATTTTCTATCCTTTCGGTACATCTGTTGATCACGTTCTGTCCATCTTATATTTACTAGTTTTTGGGTGGTTCCATTGCAAAGGGCTCAGAACTGCAAATAGAGGTTGCTGAGTTTCTGTGGAGGAATGTTCAGGTAGTATTTCTTGAAGAATATAAGGCTTTTTTCATTTACTTCCTTTTTTCTGATCAGTATCACTTACCGCAGCTTGATGGCAGCTTGATCATTTTGGGTGACAATGTCATGGGGTCAGATAAAACCAACGGAACTGGTGAACCGATACTACATTATGGAAGGAGGTATTGCTATGGCAGTTATGGGGATGAGTAGTCATGAACCGTGCTTTTTCTTGATAAAGTTTCATTCATATAGGTGTGCGAGGTGCAAACTAGAAAATGTCAAGGTGTTGAATGATGGAATAAATTGGGATTCGGAAGAGAACTTGTTTTGGAAGCACGACGTGCAGCGGTTTGAGGCCTTAAGAGTGATTCTGCATGGAAATGCTGAATTTGAAGCTCGGGATGTTGTTATACAGGTTAGTTAGTAGAGCTTTATCAGTGATTTTTCTTCATAGATATGGTTATCCGTCTTACATCATCTGTTCTTATACTGCTCTACCATTTAATATACAAGACGCAAAAGAATATTTGTTGATATATTTACTAGCCATCTGTGAACTTCTTGTTTGGTACACTTCTATATTAGGTTGCAAGGTTAAGCTAGGAAATTGTTGGGTTTTGTGTTTTTGATGGGTTTTTGAAACTTATAGAGCATCTTTAAAGGCTTGCAATTGGACAAGGGGATAACAAGTTAGTTCTCGGTTGAGTTTTGGAATGCATTTATCATTAAGAGGAATAGAGGATTGAGTACAAAATGAGCCTGAACATGAGGTGCTTTTCTTCGAGGAAAAATTAATTTTGTGAGGACCAAATAGAAATAGCGAAAATCTGCAGGGGAGTCTAAATTAAAAGCAGAAGCGACAATTAAACAAATTTGTCTACAGGGAGCATCCAACTATCCCTCTGTCTCTTTCATTAGCAAATCGGTCGCGGCACGATCTATTGTTTGTAATTATAAGCAGGACTCTCTCCTAAACCAGTAAACCTACCGCAACTATATTCGAAACTACTATTTGGATTATTTCCAAGCTAATAAACTATTTAATCACTAAGTACCTAGTTTAGGAGAACAAAACGGATTAAACTCTTTAAACTCTTCAGTAATGTATGAACACTAAATTAAATAGAATTGCTGGATATCTAAACAATGAAAATATAAAACAACTCTCACGAACTCTCTCAGAGACTATCTTGAATAATGAACCCAATACTAATCGTAATTGAAGCAGCTTCTCTCTCAGTCTTCGTCATGACATACACAATCTCCAAGTAAAAGTAAGTAAGACGTATTGGTCTTTCTTTGTCTTCAACGTACGAAGTTGATTTGCTTCTTGAATAGATCCACTTCTTTATTCGGAGATCCTCAGAATCTTCGTTCAATAATCGTGCAGGAACTATGTTTCCCAGTTTATTGACCTCCGAATCTTAGTTGAGATCTTCATTAATCTTCACGACTTGATTCCGATATTCTTCATAGTGTGTGGGAGATCTTAATGTAATTGATCAGCTCATCCTTCTTTAAATAATCATTGCTTTCTCTATCTACAAGAATAATGAAACTCATTACAATGACACTCATTACAGACACTCATTAATGCATGTGACTTAGATATGGTAAGAAAATATGAGCAATATATTGTTAGATATTATCATCTAATACTTACTACAATAAGTAAATCTAATATATAGTAAATAATGATAATACATATCCCCCTATATATTAATCCACAACGCGTTGAGCCTACGTGGCTGCTTCTGGTGCTTCGGAATCATATGTTGCAAAATTACATGCTTCGTTATTAAGCTTGGGTAAATTTTAATTTAATTCCAAACAAAAAATAATTAGGTTCGGATTACCATAAATATGTTGATTATTTATGGTCATGTTACATGTATTAATTGTATTTTAATATCATTCCTTATTATAACTATTGAATTGTATATATATTTCAAAAATTAGTAACTTTTGTATTTTTTATCAGTTTTACATATGTGACATATCAAATTAATCTTCTTTTGATGAGCTTCAATTTAACATCTATATTGTATGTATAAAAAAATAATTTATATTTATCTTTATAACAATAATAAAATTATTTTTAATATTAATTAGAAAAATAAAATTATTTATCAACCAATATATTTATATTTCAAGTAGTTATAAGATATAAGTTATAAAAACTAATATAATATAACACATGTAAGTTATAAGTAACACATATCATTCTAAAATATATATTAATATAATTTTTTGTAAAAAAGTAAACTAAATTTAATATAGTTTTCTCATGAATTTTAAAATTTAAAAATAATTTTTTAACAAGCACCCGTGTTGTACTAGTGAAATTATTAATTGCAACAGAGAGAAATGAAAAGCATTCAAACCAGTGTCTTGACATAAATTCAAAGCAGCACAACAACATATCCATGCTTAAACACAAGGGAGCTACCTATCCTTCCTGCAATGTTAGAACATCTGCAATGTTGGAACATCAACACACGTTTCTGCGATATAAGAAGGATTAGAGCCAACTCCCAAATACTAAACTAATACAATACAATCTAAGTATCAGATCTCCGTAAATCAAAAGGCAGGAATACAATAATCCAAAACAAATCAGAACTAAGCCATGCCATAGATTCAACATCCTGCAGCATACGGTATCAGCAAATAAAAAACATAAATTGCTCAAGCATTCATCTCACGCTAGCAAGTAGCAAAAGCAGACAAACAAACCAACCAATTTGTTCAAATTCTTACTCCACTTCCTCACTAAGTATTTAGCGAAACACATTCTCAAAGCAATTAAAATCAGCAACATTAGAAAGTATCATATCCTTCTTCATCCTCTTCCTCGTTCTCCCCCTTTTTAGACTTGGATGCCAAAGGATCATATCCCAAGATTGCTGCGTTTGCGCGTCTTGACCAGTAGTGTACTAGAAGTCGCTATGCGCCCGACCGACGCCTAGCGCCTAAAACCTTTAGGCGGGGCCTAAATTTTAAATATCTTATTTTTTTATTTATTTATTTTCACTACCTAAAAAATAAACCTACTTCAAATTATAATAAATCCACACCTAAATCCAAACAATAATATCAATATATTATAATGAAAATTGAAAACATGGTAGCAATTAGTAACCCATATGACCACAACTAATATTGTAATTTCCATTGAAAAAACATAAAAAACAAAATAATGAAATAATACATAAACAAGGGTAAAAGTATATCAAGGCCAGACCTACAAGGCCATGAACAACTCTATATATATGGTCTTTTCACCTCCCACACCATTCATCTCGCCGCCCTAGTATCCACTCTCCGGCCAAACATCGCGGGAAAATACCTCGCGTGAGTCACGCACTGGACATAGTTGCTGCTGGCATCTCACGCGCCAGCACGTGGGGGCGCGTGACTAGCCGGAATTTTTTCGGGCGAACTTCCGTGGTACCAAAATTTCAAGACGGTGCAGCCAGTGCTCTCAGTTTTCAGTTTTGAAGTTTTTTTGGTGTCCGTTTTGGTGTTTTTCAGATCAGCCGCTCGTCATGGTTATGGTTTGTTGATTCCAGTCGATCCCGACACTTTTTAGTTTCGGTTTTGAGTGTTCACTCGTCTGTATTGTTATCCTGCGCTGTCAGTCACAGCGACGCCACTCATCCACTGTCCATCTCGAAGGTATTTTGTCATCCGTTGTCGAGTCATGTCGCAACTCAATGCCATTGTTATCAATGTCACTCTCGATGGCCAGAATTATCGGGAGCGGGCTTTTTCTTTGGAAACAATATTGAGGGGTTATGGTCTAGCTTTTCATTTAACTGATGATGTTGATCGATCTCTAGCTATCACACTCTTTTGGACCTTTAGAAGGGACCCCGAGTAGGGCTTTTGCCCATTAGTCTATGTCCTGCTCTATTTAGATCCAAAAAGACTGTATCTCAGAGAAATGTAAGGGAAGTGCTTGCTGGTATTAAGAAAACTCTCTCAAGATTAACCCGCTTCCTCATTTAGAAATTCTAGGTTCATTAGTGAGGCGGAATCTTGAAGGATCTATATTACTCATCAAATCTAAGGTATGGTGGAATAGTCCCAGTTTTCGATGTTTCTCATTGACTTCCTTCAAGTCATGAACGAAAGGTTGACAATAGCAATGCTCGTGAAATCAGGATATGACAAATTAATGACGAGAAAGTGATGGCTGCGATCATCAATAGTGTCGAGCAATCCATGATTATGAGCTTTTCCACTTTTCGAACAACTAAGGCATGTGGTCTTATTTGCAACAATGCTACGTTCAGGCATGTGGTCTTATTTTGAACAACAAAAATATGTTCACAATAGTTTATTATTTCTAATCTCTTGTACAAAATATTATTTTATGTTCTATCATGCGTTTTTCATTGGTTTTAGTTTTTTATTGCCTCTCCAACTTAATACTTTATGTTATATGAAAAAACAGTTGAATAATTTTATATTAAATATTATTTATTTCATGTATGTTCTATGCAATTATGTCATTCCAATTTATGCTATAATTGTAATATATATATATATATATATATATATAAAGAATTACCATTTTTTTAAAAAATAGTAAGTAGAAAATCTAACAACATTAATTGCATGCCATTTTTGGAAGTATTGTGAATTTTTTTAAACAACAAATTGGCAAGCATTAAATGTAGCCTAAAATTATGGATTTGGAAAACAAAAAAACGTAATTATAGCTTCACAAATTTCACACATGTTTCCAAAATTATAGCATTGTGTTATTTGTCTTCTTTTTTTTTTCTTTATACATGAGTAATCTATCATTTTATAAAAAAAATAACCTTTTTATAAATTTAGAAACAAGATCATTAATTACATACTAAAAATACCATAATTAAAGAAGTTTTTAACTAAATGCCCATTTGTTTGAAAAAAATCCCTATTTATATGGATTCTTTCGGATACTTTTTGTATATACAAAAAAAAAAAAAAAAACGAGATGAGATATTTGATTTCCAAAAAATATCAATAGAAATAATTTGGTAGTTATTAGTAAATATTTAGTAATATTAATTTATATGCATACGTATTTTTTTATTAAAGTTAATGTGAAATCAATAATTGATCTCAATCTATTGATTAAAATTTTCAAAATTTTCAATCAATTATTTTGTTTCTACTTAATTTATTTTTATTTTTATTGATACACTATCATATAATTTGAAAAAAATATTGGTCAATACAATTAAAAATTTGTAATTTAATTCTAGAAAATTAGTTGATAAATTTGAACGATAAAGTAACCGACAACAACTTTAGAAATTACGAGATTATATATATATAATATATTCATACATCAAATATATAAGGGAATTTAGTTGTAGTCCAAATTTGAGTTCCAAATTCATAAGTCAAATAAGTAAT